TCAAAATAAATTAACCATACATTGCAAGAAAAATTACTTGCCAAATTTCATTGAAAAATGAAAAATTTACCATTTAAAGAACACACCCCGGTACGACTGATTGAATATAACCTGGTGATGGATTCTCCCTTTGTAAATTTCAGATCTCTTACAATTTATCATGTAAGATTTATAAAGTTCATGCCATTTAAGAAAAATAAAACCATACTTGCCAAATGAAAAATGCTAATGTTGGATTCTCCAAATTTCATGGATGGGGTTTAATAAAAATAAAAAAAGTGAATTACCATTATAAGAGAACACACTGCTCCGTTACGACTGACTGAATATGTACCTTTTGATGATTCTCCCTTTTTAAATTTCAGATCTCTTACAATTTATCATGTAAAATTTCAAGCAAAGTTCTCTCTCTCTCTCAAGCCATTTAAGAAAAATAAACACACATACATTTGCCAAATTTCATTGAAAAATGAAAAAGTTATTTTTATATAATACACACTTGGTATCAAAGAAAAAGTTAGCATTGTAAAACTGGTGATGATGATTCTCCCTATTGTAAAATTTCAGAACATTACTTGAAAGCAAAATTTCACATATTGTGTAAGATTTATTTGCCATTCAAGAAAAATAAAACCTACTTGCCAAATTTCATTGAAAAATGAAAAAGTTATTACCATTTAAGAGAACACACCCTGGTCCGACTGACTGAATTTACGTTGTAAAATTTCAGTTCTCTTACAACGTGTAAGATTTATAAATTTTTTTAAGAAATATAAAACTATTTTACCAAATTTCAGTTTTAAGAGAACTGAACACACAGGTATGACTTGAGAATTTCATTGAATATATAATGGAAAATGTTAAATTTGAGTTCTTAACAATTTATCATGTAAGAACACATGCCCAATAAAATGACTTGAATATTATGTTGATGAGTTCTAATTTAAGAGTAGATTTCAGCAATTTATCATGTAAGATTTATAAAGTTTATGCCATTTTAAGATGAATAAAACTATACTTACCAAATATAAGTGAAAAAGGAAAATCTTTTGGCCATTTAAGGGAACTGAACACACCGCTATGACTGCATGACTCAGCATATAGCCTGGTGATGGATTCTCCCCATGTAAATTTCAGATCTCTTACAATTTATCATGTAAGATTTAGAGAGTTTTACCATTGTAAGAAATATAAAACCATACTTGCCAAATTTCATTGTGAGAGGGAAAAGTTATGACCATTTAAGAGAATACACCATTGACTGTGTATAATCTAATGTTGGATTCTCCAAATATAAGAAGATATTGAAAAATATATTATACATGTATGAATTCTTAGTTATCATGGTTATTGAAATAAGTTGCAACAGATTTTTGAATGAGTCTTACATCAGGGACATAAATACCAGATATTACTAGGTCTCTGCTCACATCCAAATATGTTGAATTTTTTCACTTAAAAGATATAATTTTCATGACTGTTTCCATTGGTAATTATACTTGTCAATATAATTATCAATTAATAAAATTTCAAAAAATAGTATCTATTAATAATGATAATTAATATTTTATGTATGTTCATCAATCAACACTTTGAAATGTGCTCTTTACTTGGAAAACTTTTGAAAATAATTTTGAGAGTCGTTACTCTGAAACAAGATACCAGGGTATGTACATACACAATTGGATTAAATAAACAGGAAACGGCACGTGTAATGATCAGTCATGCAGTGTGGAGATGAATTCTGGAATATATGTGTATATCATGGTATAGACTTAAACTCTGAAAGGTATGAGAACCTTCCTTCGGGCAAAATTTCAATATATTTACAAAGGTGTGAAATTTAAGGTGTGAAATTCACTGATTTCAGGTTGATTGCTCTTGTACAAAGTTAAAAAGATTTTTTAGAATTAATTAATTGAAAACCCATCTGCAAATCATCTCTTTCATAACAACACTTATAAAAGGGATTTTAATTAAGACTGCTTTTCAAGATTCAACACTCCTGCAATTAAATCAATTGGGTACTGCTTTGCATGTAAGCATTCAGTGGTCAGACTATCAATGGCTTCCTCTCTCTCCTTTTTCCCTCTCTTGACACAGTATAAAATTATTGCATAAGCGGTATGAGAGAGAGAGAAAACATCGCACACGACCGGGAATTTAAAAAGTTATGACTTGGGTCATTTTAATGAAAATTGTCAGTCGGTCGGGAAAAAGCAACTAAACACTTTATTTGAAAAGATGACATCATTGTTATTTTTTAATCATTCTAGAAAGATCAAGTAAAATGCATACTGAAATAATCAGGCCTCTGAAAGCCTTTTCTGTTTTCTTTTTGGATGGGATGGGGTTTAATATAAATTCTGAAATTTTGTTCCATAATATTCGCAGCGTAATTGAAACTTCGGGGGTCTCTTTAGTTGTTGTTGTTGTTTACTGAATTACTAGAAAATGTATAAGGAATATTATTTTTGCTTTCCGTTATTTGGCGACTGTAGATGGTGTACTGTGTACTTTTGTGTACTTTGCTCTTCTTTACTTTCAATATCAATTAATCCAATTACACTATTACTGATAACTGAAATTTTTAGTAATTGTGTATTCTGAAATTCCCATCGCAACGTAGATAATTCAATTTGAAGATTAAACTGTGCTTTTGAAGGACTTGAATTAAACAAGCATTATAACCTTTTTTTTGTCTCTCTCTCTCTTTTTAAAGCAGTATAACCTGAAAACAAGAGGAGAAACACACATACACATTTAAAATATTACATTCCTTATAAACCAAGAGTTCCCCGGGGACAGCTTTACTTACTTAAGATAATTTAAATCAATAATCTATAAATTGTTATTTTTCTATAATAAACTTTCAAAGAAAAAGTTATCGTCTTACGTATTGTAAAATAAAAAAATACATTAGCTATTATTGTTTAGTTTAAAAAATAATTCTAGGTAATGAAATGATCATATGTATAAATTTTCAAATCTTCAAATTCGATCCTAGAAAGGGACATAACTCTGCAAAGCGGATCTTATAGTATAAGAAGACTAGATCGGATACGAGACATTTGGAAAGCAAGAATTAAAACATTTATTTTGTGTATCATTTATTTTCCCATAAACTTTTAGACAACCTTTAATAGGTTTTTTTTCCGTAAATGGCAAAAGATCTTACTTCGAAAATTAATATTGACCACGTATTAACTTAAACTGAACGTGAATTTTTTTATGTTATTTTTCATCCGAGTTGGAATTCACGGAAATTTTATCAAAATTATTGGTTTTATTTATTTTCATAATCTCACATTATGTTTGATTAATATTACAGCAACTATAGAGTTTGGAGTTAAACCTTTTCATCCTTCTTTTGCTAACTCCCGAGAAAAAATATCTACACGCTCCAGATGTAGATTTTCCACTACCATCACTTATTCTTTTTTACTTCTGAACAAACTGACATTTTTTTAATCATTGGCGTCGGAAGCAAATTGAAAGTGGGGGGGGGGGGGGGGGGCTAAGTGTAAGAAAATTTTTTTGTACCTCCAAAAAAACCTGACAAGTTAAAAAAAAAAAAAAAAAGGAAATGTCTATTTCCCAAACACAAAAATCCTATTTCTTGGAGGGGGGGGGGGGGGGTTTGAAGTACTAGTACCATGAAATTTTCTTCCAAACACCAACACTTTTACCAATTTTAACCTATACTAAGACATATCTATGGAAAGTGTGGGGGGGGGGGGGGGGGCTAAACTTACGAAGATATGTTCAATGTCTATACTACATATGTAAGTATATATTGGGAAAAAAAGTGGGAGGGGGGGCTAAGCCCCCCCCCCCCCCCCTAAGCCCCCCCCCCCCCCCCGACGCCTATGTTAATGCTGAACAAACTGACATTTGAAATAAAATATGTTCAGAGTTCAAAAACCTATAAGGAAAAAAAGATGTTTAATAAATCATTATATTCCTTCAAAAGCAGATCTTAATAAGAATATTTTAAAACTTTAAATGAAAAAAAAAATTTAACAAATTAATTGTTAATAAAAAATTTAAAAAAAAATTAAACACGCTTGCAATCTTTTATATACTTCCTCAGATGAGGTAGAAATGATGAACCATATATAATTTTAAAATCTGAAATAAACATTTTGAAACTTGTACATGTAGACATTGCTCGAAGACGGGACTAGACGCCTATTGTTATGCAATAAATAAGAAATGGCAGGTGTCAGTATGTAGGTGTGGATCCGAATCCTGTAATATACACATGTGCGTGTATGTGTACCCCTCGGAATACAGCCCTGAGGGTGAATCTTACAATAGATTTTCAATCCTCTGTGTATAGAGTGGTTCGACCATGCTCTGTGCGCCGATTGAATAATGTGCCTCCTCGATCTATCATACCTAGTACGCGATGTCCATGCATTTCCAATGTGGAATAAAAATAAAATTAAAATTATAAAATAAAATGTATAAAATTTATTTTATTGTATAGCAATATAGCATGTTGTTATTGTTATACCATCTGGCACAACTGTCAACACAAAACTTTTATTAATTGATAGTTAATTCTTTCAATTAAAAAAAAAACATGGAAATGAAAAATAAATCAACTGATGATTCAGGCACGTAGAATAGTTTTTTAAATGTCAGCCATTCGCTTGTTTTTTTTTTTTGTTTTTTTTTTTAATTATTTGGCCTGGAGAAGTTGATAAGCACAAAATAAAAAAAACATTGCCCAAATACGCAAGTTTCTATATTCGGAAATGCTATTTTGAGGGGGGGGGCAACTTTTTCTTATGCCGACTTCTTACTGTACCATTTTGGGGTATAATATACTGCATTTTCTTTATATTACTTTACCATAGTATTAACTTGGTAGAGGAGGGGGGATTTAGCTGTATCTCAATGAATATTTTTTATAGAAAACTGAGTAATGTTGGTATCTTACATATCCTTGTAACAGTAAATTAATTTTGAGAAGAAAAAAATTAGAACAAGACCAGATTGAGCAGTTAATATACAGTTGATATAAGTAGATTTGAAAATTCCAATTAGAAAAATAATAAATCTACTGCAGTTGGGTTATCATCTTTTCGGCCTTTTAGTGAACACTAGGTCAAAGTCAATTCGGCCTTTTAGTCCACACTTTGTCAAAATCAAATGAGCGCTTTGTAAGAAGACCACCGTCATGATGATGGAAGTAAGAAGTTTTAAAACTAAACTTTATTTTAACAAGGGTTAATTCACGCAGGTTTTTAAATCAGTTTGATTGATTTAGCGTGTGTGAATTACTCCATTAACATCATCCCCAAAAGTTCCATTGGAATTCTGCTGTCAGTGTCTGAAGAAATGAATATGTGTACGAGACTGGAGTGATGTAAGTATATCAGGTCCAGTACTGGACCTGTATATTACTCAGCTGTTACTAGCCCATTACACTGTGCATGCTATGAATTTGATTGGGGTTATTTCTTGCAAAATGGAATCAAGGATCTCTATGTGGTAGACAGGTAGATATTACCACAGAGAGACTGAAGATTTTTTGGGATGTAAACATGGTCAATTTTTTTTTTATAACGTTTATTAGTTTTTTGTCTTACCCAAGGGAGGAGGAATATGTTTTGGCATGGATAGCTTTTTCCCACAAGTTGCAACTTTGTCTGCTAGGATGTCACATATCAGTTAGATTTTAATGTCACATTGTGCCTGTCTAAGGTTAATCAAGTTCAAGTTCAGTGTATTTTTATGGATACTAATAAAAGTTCGGTCTGACATTTGGAATAAATTAAAAATGAAGCCCTAAATGGGGGAGGGGGATTTATGTTCTGTTATGGGTACTCACAAGGGTGGATCTGATCAACTGCTGCAGTGGTATAGATGTAAAATCTCTATTTTTCTTTTTAAAAAAATGTGAACCAAAAATTATAACGTCAAAATCAAAGAACCAATCATATGATATTTATGGAGGTACCTTATGGAATCATAATTTTTTTTTTCTGTATCATGCGAATTATTCATATTTGGTGAAATGTTGTTATAAAAGCCATGATAGCATATACGACATATTTTGTGAAATATGAAAGACCTATCATATGTCATTAAAATGTAATGTAGCACCACTTTTTTGAATTAGGTCAAACATGAAGGTAAATATTAAGGTGTCAGATATAGCATGCACAGAAATATCATGTCACAGATAATGCACATGTAAAATATGAAACCCTATCTCTTTTAAATCAAAAGTCAAAAGGATTTTTGAAAAGTAGGTCATACTTCAAGGTCAAGGTACCATGGTCAAAAATCATTATTAGTTAAAAACATAGTTACATGTACTAGTTCATTATGAAAGGAATTACCACAGGGAATGCATGTATAATCTGAACATGTCGAAAGCCCTATCTCATCTCATTCAAAAGTTATGACCAAGGTTTTAAGTTTTTGTGACAGATGAGCAGACCAACAGACTTACAGATGACATATGATTAGATTCAATTATTAATTATCATGAAATCTTGCATTTGATAAAAAGGATGACAAAAATCAATAGAACCATACACTAAAAGGGATTGACTGACCATGATGTTGCACATACCCGGTAGATGCTTTTTACAAAAATTTAGGTTTTCTTTTAAATAACAATAATTTATGTTTAGGAAGTTTAAGTAGCTGACAGAATAAAAAATATATCAAGTTTGACATACATTTAGATCTATTTCAATGCAAAAGCAATATCGATCAATATCGCCTGACTGCATTATGCAGAATGAAAATTCAGTTCTCTAAAGGTCATACGCAACATACCGGTAGTTTGAACTTTATTAGGATCTTCCCTGGAGTTTCAGAGTTTCACTTAATGAAGGACCTGGGTACAATACTTTGAATGTCTTATATGGATTTGTACACCTCTTCTAAAACTATGTTTGATGAAAAAGAAATCTGGAAATTATTTTAATGAATTTGCCCCCTGATCGAAAATCGGGGGTATATGTTTTTGTCCTGCCTGTCTGTCTGTCTGTTTGTCCCCCAACTTTAACCTAGCCCATAACTATTGAGTGGTAGGGGCTATGGCTTTCATAATTCATAGGTGTGTTACTTGTGACATAACCTTTCTTTGGGTACCACCAAATTTGACCTCTTGACCTTGACCTTGGAGTTTGACCTACTTTTATTAGTCCCCTACCGGGGGGGGGGGGGGGGCGATAGGTTTCCACTGCGTCCGTCTGTCTAGCTGTCTGTCCCCTGATCAGTCTGTCCCACTTGGTTTTCCACACTTTTTTTTCTAAATGCTTGCAGATATTGAGCTGAATTTTGGTATGTGAGTGTGTCTTAAGGAGTTACAGATCAAGTTTGAATTTTGCTTTGCTTCATTGATTTTTGACAGAATAGGGCATTTTGAATATTTTTTCATAATCGCTTAATTGAGATCAGATTCTAACTGCGCTAACTTCCGATTGTCGACAAAAATATGAAGCGAGGAAAGGACGGTGGAGAAATGAGTTGAATTTTCGTCTTAATGTGGATTATTTTATTAGTTTTAAGGCATTTACAACTTGAAAATCTTTCAGTTTTACCTTGGACATGACTTTTGCATATTATAAAATGACATCCAGAAGAAAAAGGGGAACCTATCATATGTAGGGGACATGTATTGCTTATGCAATACTCTCAGAATGCTTGTTCTATTTGTTATCAACTTTAACTTTAGCCATAACTTTTGAACAGATCAAGATAGAGACTTCATATATAAAATGCATAGACTCCACTAATTAAGCACTTTCAACTGACACCAAGGACAATGACCTTTTGACCCTGACTGTGACTAGTATATGCTAAAATTAGATTTTTCTAACCGGTATAACTATTAAACAATAGGAGATAGAGACTTGATATACTAGTCAAAATTTCTAAGTCCCCAGGCAAGTTTTTGCTTTATACCGCTTTTAAATTGAATTATTTTAACAGTATTACTTAATAAGTATACAGGATAATAAAATAGCAAAATAATTTTTCCTCACTTGATTTATTTTATTAAAGCACTTTAACACAATATGCAGAAATCAAGGCATAGAATTAAAAATTCACAATGTTTAATACTGCATTATTCTCATTCAAACGAATTCAAATCAAGAACCGTTCCTTTAAAGAGGTTAAGAAAAACTATTTCATTAAGGTTTTTGTGATACTGCTGCTGGGAAAGCAACACACGGTCTATCAGATACATGCTATTTGATTGAGATTCAATTATTAATTATCATGAAATCTTGCATTTGATAAAAAGGATGACAAAAATCAATAGAACCATTAACCACTAAAAGGGATTGACTGACCTTGACATGATGTTGCACATACCCGGTAGATGCTTTTTATAAAAATTTAGGTCTTCTTTTAAATAATTAACAATAATTTATATTTAGGAAGTTTAAGTAGCTGACAGAATGAAGAAAAAAAATATATCAAGTTTGACATACATTTAGATCTATTTCAATGCAAAAGCAATTCGATCAATATTCAAGAATTATGTTTGAAGTAAAACTGGATTATGCAGAATGAAAATTCAGTTCTTTAAAGGTCATACATGCAACATTTAGTTTGAACTTCATTAGAAATCTTCCCTGGATATTCAGGTTTCATTTTTGAATCACCTGGGTACAATACTTTGAATGTTATCTGGATTTGTACACTCTTCTAAAACTATGTTTGATGAAAAAGAAATCACTGTAATTAAAAAAGATCGGGGGTATATTGTTTTTGTCCTCCTCTCTGTCTGTCTGTCTGTTTGTCCCCCATTTAACCTAGCCCATAACTATTGAGTGGTAGGGGCTATGGCTTTCATAATTCATAGGTGTGTTACTTGTGACATAACCTTTCTTTGGGTACCACCAAATTTGACCCTTGTCCTTGACCTTGGAGTTTGACCTACTTTTATTAGTCCCCTACCGGGGGGGGGGGGGCTATAGGTTTCCTCTGCGTCCGTCCGTCCGTCTGTCTAGCTGTCTGTCCCCATCAGTCTGTCCCACTTGGTTTTCCACACTTTTTTTTCTAAATGCTTGCAGATATTGAGCTGAATTTTGGTATGTGAGTGTGTCTTAATGAGTTACAGATCAAGTTTGAATTTTGCTTTGCTTCATTGATTTTTGACAGAATTAGGGCATTTTGAATATTTTTTCATAATCGCTAAATTGAGATCAGATTCTAACTGCGCTAACTTCCGATTGTCGACAAAAATATGAAGCGAGGAAAGGACGGTGGAGAAATGAGTTGAATTTTCGTCTTAATGTGGATTATTTTATTAGTTTTAAGGCATTTACAACTTGAAAATCTTTCAGTTTTACCTTGGACATGACTTTTGCATATTATAAAATGGCATCCAGAAGAAAAAGGGGAACCCGGTAGGGGACATGTATTGCTTATGCAATGCTACTCTCAAATGCTTGTTCTATTTGTTATCAACTTTAACTTTGGCCATAACTTTTGAACAGATCAAGATAGAGACTTCATATATAAAATGCATAGACTCCACTAATTAAGCACTTTCAACTGACACCAAGGACAATGACCTTTTGACCCTGACTGTGACCTATATGCTAAAATTAGATTTTTCGAACTTTCGGTATAACTTTTAAACAATAGGAGATAGAAACTTGATATACTAGTCAAAATTTCCAAGTCCCCAGGCAAGTTTTTGCTTTAAACCGCTTTTAAATTGAATTATTTTAACAGTATAACTTAATAAGTATACAGGATAATAAAATAGCAAAATAATTTTTCCTCACTTGATTTATTTTATTGAAGCACTTTAACACAATATGCAGAAACGTTAAGGCACCCTAGAATTAAAAATTCACAACGTTTAATACTGCATTATTCTCCATTCAAACGAATTCAAATCAAGACAACCGTTCCTCAAAGAGTTCACACTATTTAAGAAAAACTATTTCATTGAATGTTTTTCCATGTGGATACTAGGTCGTTCTAGTTCCGCTAGATACTGCTGCTGGGAAAGCTGTTTCACACTCCGGTCTTTCTGCTTCCATACATGCTATTTAGGGTTGAGATTAGGAAGACAAGGGGGCTTATCGAAATTGTCTTCTTACATGTATTCCCCACTTCTCCAGTTTGACATTGAAGGGAGGGCACTTTTGGTTCCGGTTCCATTGATTTTTCCGGATAAACTCTAGGATGATTTTCTGGTGTTTGTTGAAATCTAGCAATTTTTAACGGTTAAAAGGAATTCAGGTGCGCTTTGTAGGTTTTCCGGGTGGTAATTATAAAGGTTTTAAGTAAAATAAAGTCATACAGTGAAGAAAAACAGAACTTTTGTTTACTACGACCAGCTTAGGCCATTTCAACTTCACTTTCACATTGTTGTGTGGACATACACCGCATTTTATTCAAACATTTTCTGTTTTTCGTTATCAATAAAAGATGGAGAACACATGGAAGTAAAAAATATTAAGAATAAACCCGAAAAACATATGGAATTTGAACTTCATGCTTTTCAACAAAAACGGTCACGGTCGAGTAATTACACATTCGATTACAATTTTTTTTACCTTGACAGGTAAGTATTGCAAATGAAAGGCATATTTGTAAGCAACTAGTAAATTGAAGTTTAGGTTTTTAAAATTTTGAAAAAATAAAAGTGGGGACTTAGAAATTTTGACAAGTATATTTGGTATGCCTACTTCACTAGTTAAGTGCTTTCAAACGACACCGAGGTCAATGACCTTGTGACCTTGACTGTAACCTTTATGCTAAGAATAGATTTTTCAAACTTTGTTGCTGTGGGGGCACAGTGTTTCACATACACATCTTGTTTTTGTATATTTCTTTGAATAATGCAAACATTTTCACAATTTGATATTTTTTCAAAACCCCTAGTAACACTAAATTAGAAACATAAAGAATTATTGTTCACTTCCAACATATAAATTCTAACATTAATTATAGTGAACATAATGTATGTAAAAACTTAATTGATTTGTTATCCAATGTAGTTTTAATAGTCAAGCTGATGGATGTGATCATGGTGATAGGGATACATTTCAAAAACTGGTGGTAAATAAAGCACCGTAGTATTAAGCTTTGAATGCATTGATAAAAATGTCTTATTTCATCATATTCATTACATGTACCTGGGGTTTTTTTTTTTTTTGCCGGTAGGTGGTTATTTCAGTTAGGTTAATAAAGAGAAACATACGAGATGTAATTAAATTTCATTCTTATATATTCATTCATAAAGATGATGAAGATACCCAACATAATGATTAAAAGATAAAGAGAATAAATCAGATTGGTGATCAATATCCAAAAGACAGGATGGTGGATCTAAAGGTAATGGGTTCCAATATTTTCCTTTGTTTATTGCATGGTTTTGAATTTCACATTCACCCCAGACAAATCAAAATGAGTTATTTGTAGGTTGATCTAATTAAGAGGCTTTATCTTTTTGATTATGGCTATTTGATTTCAAACAGTTTGCTTATAAGTCATGTGATATCATGGTCCAAAGTTATGAGTGGTGGATCCAAGGGGAGTTGATATTGAATTTTTAATTACTTATCATGCTTATTGTAGATCATCATAACATATACTAATAATTATTGCGCATTTATTTAAACATTTAAGTAACCTTTCTTTGTGTGATAAGTGATGGACCAAAGGCATGTATATTTCACCAGTAATTGTTTTGATAGTTGAGGTGGATCCAAGGGGGTGGATAGATATATTTTTAAATACATGTATTAAATTTTGTAATGTGTCAAAGGAATCAATAATAATCATGTGATGTTTATGGTTAATTGATTTTAAACATTTAACTTATATATCATGTGTGATCAAAATCTAAACTTATAAGTGGTGGATCCAAGGGGGTGGATATTAATCTTTTTTAAATATTTGTGGTGGGTGCAGGATCAAAGAATATTAATGATCAATGATTGTGGTTAATTTATATCAGCATTTAGCTTATATGTCATGTTTGATCATGATCTTAATTTTAAAGTGATGGGTCCAAGGGGGAGTGGATACCGGTATTTATGTTATATAGTAGTTGTGGTTGATCCAAGGGGAGTGGATATTAATTTTAAATACATGTATTTGTGATGGGTAAAAGGATATTAATGATTATAGGCTTATAGCTAATTGATTTCAAACATTAAGATTATATGTCATGTATGATCAAGATCTAAACTTATAAGTGGTGGATCCATGGGGAGTGGATATTAATTTTATTTTTTTTTAAATATTTGTTGTGGATCAAAGGATATAAATGATTATGGCTAACTGATTTCAACATTAAGCTTATATGCCATGTGTGATCATGGTCTTAACTTACATTAGTGGTGGATCCTTGAGGAGTAAATTTTTTATTTTAAAATATTTGTGGTGGATCAAAGGATTTTTTTATTATAGTTTTTTAAAAAAGAAGAATTGCTGTCCATCCAAGTGTTTACAGAAGATTCCCACTAATGCAGTTTTTTTCCATCAGGAAGCAGTTTTGGAAACTGGTCATTACTCAACAGAATCAGGAGATTTCAGTATTGTATGCAAACAAAGATAAGACAGTGTCACTCGCACAAATTTAAGTCCCCTTTCGGTTGATTGTACTTTTTCTTAACAAATAAAAATCAGTATCTCAAACACTCCTCTTCTCTTGGCAAGTCATTTGGTTGAGTTTTCTCTGGCAATAGGATTTGTTTATGACCCTCACTTTAATTAAAATGGCTCTACAAAAGCAGTTAAACAATGGATATATAGCAGTCAATTTTGCATTGTTATGCCTCTAGATCTGCCTCATAAAAAATAATTTGAATTTGTATATGATTGAAGATAAAATGCTTCATAAAGTATATTCAGACATTGCATTCTTATCCCATTATTCCCATATCTGCTTATTTATTTATCCCATGGGATTAAAAATACCCAGTATTATGTACTTTGCAGGATTTTTAATCCTAAGAAGGGCAAATATGGGATTTTTAATCCTATGTCGCCTATTATGGGAGAAAAAATCCCATGGGAGAAAAAATCCCTCAAAGATTTTTTTCTCCCATGGGATTTTGGTGGGATTTTTGGTGGGATGAAAAATCCCGCCATTCTCCCATGGGATTTTAGGTTTTGACAGAGGTTTATGAGAAAACTACTACAATGTGGAAGTTGAGATTGACATGATGAGGTCAGAATAAAAAATCCCACCAAAATATAGAAAAAAATCTAATGTAGGTCTTTTCGAAAGGGTACCTAAAAGTCCGGACTTTGTCGTGTCCGGACTTAAATGTCGCAGTGTT